TGGAGGATCTGTTTGCCATTGCAGGAGCTGCAGACGGAATGTTTAAAGGGCTGGGAGAAAAGGAAGGAGGAAAGCAAGGGAGAAAGACTGGGAGGGGAAGACCATAAAATATACCGTGCTCTTAACCATGTTACACAGATTATGATAAATAGTAACAGGAATTGTGTATTAGTCCTTCTCAGACTGGCACACTCCAGATGTGTCAGGGTAGAATGCCCAGCATGCCCCACCAGCACAATGGGAGTTGTAGTCAACACATCTGGGGGCTACTGGCTTGGGAAGGGCCGTTGTATATTATTAGAGATTATTAGATAAGATGGACTGTAAGATAAAACAATACTTTTGACTTGAGAAACCAAGTGCTCTTGGTTTAACGTTTGTGAATCCAGAAAAGGAGGGGGTCCCAACCTATGCTTAATTTCTACACAATGAAATGCAAGGGCTCTCGTGTTCCAGAAAGCTCCGAAGCTGCTCCCCAAGTCCAGATAAGTCCAGCTGGACTATGTTCAGGCAGCTATGGGTAAAAACACCCACTGTGTTGGTTTCGACCAAGACTCTTCTTTATTCTTGCTCTCTGTTCCAGGAAGGTGTTGCCAACTGACCTAGGAAAAAAGTGGTGTGGCCTGCTCTTGTGCCTACAACACTATAATCACAGAAATAAGCAGAGGAAGCTCTAGCAGCCTGAATGATAATAATTGTCATTTGATTAATTCTGCTTCTTCAGGCTAATGTTAAAGACACAGAAGCAAGAGGTGTGCGGAAGAAAATGGGCAGTCCATTCTGCCCAGGAATTAGTCTTTGCCTTTCAAACCAGGCAAAGGTTCCTAGGCTGAATTAAGTGCTGCTCATGCCCTTTATGATTTTTTAGTTTATCTTTTTAATCAGAGCTCACCTCTTCCCTAGAAACCAGCCTGCTCCTGCTGTTTAATGGAGAAGCGGTGAGTGCTGATCTTCCAGGAAATCCTAAGCTCGCATATGTTCCAACTGTCCCTATTTACCTTCAGGGACAGCCTGGGTTTTCTGATCATAATTTCCACAGGAGTAGCTGTGATCATTCTGTTGCAAGAATCTTGTGTCAACTTATTGAAAAGTTTGATTCTATTTGCTTAGGCTTGTATCCAGACAATGGTTTCCTTTCCCACTCCAAGTGTTAATTAACATAGCTAAGCGAGATGATTGCATTATCACCAGGTACTGCTGTTCTGAATAGTTACTGGGATTATGTTGTATAAATTAAGCTTAAAACAGAATCGTCACATACTGTACCTCTTGCATTTCATGGTGGTTTGGTCTCATTGTTGACAGTGGCTTTTCCTACACCTGCTAGCGGAATACAGTATTTCGTGCATCCGATGATGTGATCTCCAGTCTGCTGCAGCTTATGCCACTGCATGACTGTCCTTACGATGCAAAAGATCCTCTTTGCTGATTTTTCTGGTAATGATTCCAGGTCTGTTTTTGACTGAGGGGACACTGGGTAAAATATTGTGATCTTGAGTTCCTAAAGCAGTAATTTTTCAGCATTTTGAATCTTCTTCAGTGCTTCTGGAAGTTAGAAAGAAAGCTCTGAAGCTATAATCCTATGGCGGCCTACCCGGGAGTAAGCTCCACAGGGTCAGCAGGGTCAGCTTTTGAGCAGTCGTGTAAGACAGCACAGTGAATGGCAGAACGGATGCGACTGGCTTTGGCTCCCATGAGCACACATTAACCCTAAGACACAACCTGGGGCAGCACATGGAGTTAGGGCAGACTTTGCCTACCCAGCTGAGGGGCGATGGGAATTGTAGTCCAATGCAAATACTGGGCACTGCATTGGCAGACATCTGGATTGCAGTTTGCTCTGCCAAACATGGTTTGCCACTGAGGGATAATTCACGTGCCTTTTAGGGAAAGAACAATCCTCTGAGCAAGAGAGGCTGTTGCAGAGGAATCCCATGAGCGAGGGGAGTCTCCCTTTGGCAAGTGTACAGTTTTATGGATCAGGCTAGTAAAATATTGACTAATCACTGATATTTGAATCAGTGGCTAGGCAGCAAATACTTCCTCTGTCTGGTAACAACAAACCTTCCATGAAACAAGGGGCTAAACTTTTGTCTGGGCTGGTCTTTGGGTGCCTGACTAGCGCAGCCAGTGGGCCCCTGGAAATGCTCTGAAGTTGCTGATAGTGTTTCTGAGGGGGTTTCTGAGGGGGATTTCTAAAGTGCTTCTGAGGGGGTCCCGTCCTAGGAATGTAACAAATTATTAGGAGATCTGCCGTGAGTACTTCTTGCTCATTACTGAGGTGTGTGCATTAATAACTTCCCAAGCTATTACGTGTTTGAAAGTTTCCCACCTTCGTGACAAACTAGTCAGCAAATGAATGTCTTAAGATGCTTGAAAAGGGAGAAACTCCAAGAAGTGCAGTGGGGAGCTTGAATGGAAGCGGCGAACGCCAGGGCTGGAAACACCCTTGGGGAGCAGATGACGCGAGGGAAAATGCACGTAAACACATTAATACAATGACTGTTTCTCTTTCCACTTCTTTAAAAGGAAAATGGCAAAATTGCCGATGTACTCACATCTATTTACAGACTCAGCTTTGGAAATGCCAGGCTTGTGTGAAATTGCAAAGAGGGTCCCAGGAGACAAAAGTGGGCATCACACATTTCTAACCCCTTAATTGAATGAATGTGTCATCATACAGAAAACCTACACAGGAGATATGATATCATCTGTGTAGTCTTTCTCCTAAGCCTGAGGATTTCAAACCTGGTGCTACAAACACCTCTTGGGACAATGTCAAGTAGAACTCCCATCCAGTTATCCAAGTATGGCCTAAGAAACCCTTTGCTGGTTATGAGAACTAGAAATTAGTTTTTTAAATTTAAGGATTGTTACAGACAACAATAATTTAAAGCTAAGTCTACAAGAATGTCCCAGCACTTCTGTTTGATGCCCAGACTTGTGCTATAAGGTAGAGAAAGCTGCTCAGGAATGAAAAATCCTCACAGTTTGGGATTAAGTCTGCAACATACAAGTAGAAATGTATGGCGCCACAAAGGACTGAAGTAGTTTTCTGGACATTAAGCAAGTGACGTTACCACCCTCAGCTTCTCATGTGCGTTAATGATCACTATACAGGATTGTTGCAGACACCAATAAAAATGAGTCATGCTTTTTGAAGGTCTACTGAAGAATCCTATGAAGGTCAAAAGTTGGCACACCAGCAAAAATCATTGCAGTAAAAGATATTTATCGTCTTTCCACACAGTATTAAAGGGGGTACTATACCAGCTGGGTGTTTTCTTTGGGCTTCCATGGGGAACAGCAAACATTCCTTGCCTCCAACCCACAGGATGATCACTTCTCCACACCTGAAATGGCGAGAACATATTTCAGTTCAAACCAAGGCCACACTCCGCGATTCTGATCGGCTGCTTGTGCTTAGCAGGAGTAAGTAAAACAAGTTTCACTCAGGTATAATTTACATTCTTTTGCAACTGTTTCCTCACTAAAGTTAAAATGTAGGCTTCAAACCTGGTCCCACTTACTCAGGAGTAAGCCCCCTCAACTCAATAGGATTGCATTCTGCATAGCGAGGCATTGCATGGAAAGGCAAGGGCAGTCCACATGACTCTGTGGATGCCCCATGGTTTCCAATGGCGCCTACAAGCTCCCCCCTTGCCCTTCAAAGATGTTATTTTAAGAAAAATCCCAGAAAATGCCGGGGCTGCCTCCTCCTTCTCCCTCACAACCCCCTAGCCTTGCTCTTTCTCTCCCCTGTAGCCCCTGTAGCTTCGCTGTTTCCTCCTCCCTCCAAGCCTCCAGTCCCACTGCCCCCCATCCTGTTTAGCTCCCCATTTCTTTCCTGCTAGCCGTGCTCCTTTCCAGCCCCTATGACCAGATTTAAATTAGACTAAAATGGGCCATAACCCTTTAGAGACAATTGCAAGGGTGCTACCCAATGCATGTTTAGAGAAGGGAGGATCCTAAAACTTCCAGCATCCCATTCGAGTGCACTAGAAGGGGTTCAGAGGGGGGCAACAAGGGTCTAGAAATTAAGCCCTGCGGTGAGAGGCTGAGAGCTGGGCCTTGTCAGCCTCAAGAAGAGAAGCCTGGGAGGGGAGGCGATAGCATTTCACAAGCACCTCAGTGGCCATCTCAAAGATGAAGGAAAAGACCTTTTCTCTCTCGTCCTTGAGTGTAGGGCATGGAACAAACTGCTGCACACCAGATTCAGGCTAGATCCCAGGAAGTTTCCTGAGAAGTGCTCCACTCCCTGTTTGCATCCAATTGTTTGCATTCTAGGATGATTCTGCCATGATGCAGATGGACACATAATATACTGTAAGGGCGTGGTAAATAAATGTTGTATGTTGATGGATAATGAAGCAATTTTCCTCGAAAAGTCAGTCCCCAGGCTTTCCTTGTTTAGCTCTGCATAAACATATTGATATCAATTTGTATGTTTAAAATTATATTTTGATCGTCCTGAGACTTTTTGTGAAGGTTGCTGTATAAAAGAAAATAAAGAAAATAAAGAAAATAAAACGCAAGTTAAAGCCTCAGCCATGTTACAAAGCGTTCAAACGCAGGGAATCAGAAATATTTTATATCTTTGGCCAGGGCGTTTCCAATTATATTGTTTTTATATGATTATACGTATTTATTTATTGTTGTAAGCCGCCCCGAGGCTGTGGCGAATGGGGCGGCATAGACGTTTACTAAATAAATAAATAAATGTGAATCAGTATGAAACGCCCAAGCATGCATTGAGGATGCAATCCTGGGCAGATCTAGCGCGAAAAAAGATCCTACAACTCCCAGCATTTCCCAGCAGACCGCAGGAGTTGCGCGCCCTTTTCTCTGCCTAGACCTCCCCAGGATCGGGGCCCAAGAGGGCTCTTCCTCTCCATGGCAACCGCACCGAGCCGAGGCGGGGCAAGCGGAGCCCGCAGGCGGAAGCGAGACGAGAGGCGCGTGCTCATTGGCCGGCGCTCCGCGTCTCACGTGATCGGCCAACATGGCGGCTCCCAGGGTGTTCGCTCGAGGCCTGGGTTCGCACTGGCGGGCGCTGCGCCGAGGGTCGCATCCGTCGCTCCTGCGGACGGAGAGCAGCAGCGCCGCCCCGGCCGGCGCAAGAAGCCGCTTGTACGAGCACGTGCGGGTCGGGTGGACGGCGCGGCCGCAGCTAGACGTGGCGGCGCTGAAGGCGCAGCTGGGCGAGGCGGAGCGGGAGCTGGAGACGCGCAAAGGGCTGCTCGGGCCGCGGGACTTGCGCGAGATTGTACGTGCGCGGGAGGAGGAGGAGGGACTCGCACTGGGGCTTTGCCGGATGGAGAGGGGCTGGATCCTGTGCGCCCTGGGTGACTTGGCTCCTCGTAGAGGAAGTCCTTTGCATAAAATGTGCATATGCAGATTTAAATGTATAAATGCAATTTTAGAAATTATCACTATAGTAACAGAACTATAGTACATTTCAACATAGGGTGGAGGACTGTGACATGGGTGCTTTGTCTTTCCGTTGCAGTAGGTAGGCATCTTCAAGACCTAGCACTTATTTCGGATGGTTCTGTGTACAGAACTGGGACCAGGCAGGTTTTCCTACCGAGAATGGTGCTCTGTAAAAGAGGTTAATGATAAAGGAGCCCTGCCAGGCCAAAAAGCAGCATCTCTTTGGCTCTCACGCATCTTTGGAAGGATCCCTAAAGCCATGCTTTGGACTCATACCATAAAACTCACTATCCCCCTTGCAATATTATAGGGGTCATGAAGCAAACCGCTCATGTATTCGTGTGCCTTCTCTCTTCCTGGATCACCTTGTTAAACTGTTAATGGTCTGTGCTCTGTTTTATGTTTTTCTCTCCTTCCAATGCCTGCCAGGTGGCTATTTGGCAACAACTGGTTGCGGTGCAAGAAGAGATTGCAAAAGCTGATACTGAGAGAAGGAAAATCGCTGAAGAAGTGCGGAATCTTCTGGTGAGTCCATCAGACATCAACGGTCATGGAGTAACTCCTGGAGCCCCTGTTGCAGAAAATTTGTATAAAGAAACATACAACATAGGTAGTTGGGTGCATGTCCCTTTTTAACATCATAGTAGGCATCCCTTTGGATCAGTCTGACAAACTGACTTGGATGAAATGGCTGCTGTAGCCAAAGTACAAGTAACTTACTCCAAATAGCGACTCCAGTGCAGAGGTGGGATTTGAACTTGACACACTGAGCCATTCCTTTGAGCCCACAGCTGGTGAGAAAATATGTTAATCACCTCAAATAAGACATTAGATGGGTGGAGCACCTTGGGGAATATCAGGAAAAGTGTCCAGAGCTTCATTGGTATCCGAGAGCATCACATCGCCTACCCATCTTCTATATAATACCTAGCATTTTACTTATGTATTAATTGTCCTTTAGATGGTCCAACAGCCAAAGTTCTGTGTGTGAGGAATAATACATTAAGAGACATACAGTGCAAACATTAAAACCAAAAATAAAATGGTATGAAATAAAAATAAGATGAAGCCAGCAGTTTTGCTTCTGTCTGAATTATGAGGGCTGGAAACCTGACTTGATGTTTAGAGAGAGGGCTTTTTAGGTCAGGAAGGGGGGAACTGGTTGCTTGAAACGATCACAGAATCTGGTGTGCTGATTGTTTGTAAACTTGTACCTTGTGTATAGGCAGAAATATTTCCAGGCATTCTGAATTGCATAGCATTAAATTACTGATAGTTATTACAATGTTTTCTTTTGGGAGATTCTTCAAAGAATATTTTCTCTTCTCTTTCCAGAAAATCCAAGACAGCAGTACTTTAAATTCAGTAAGACTTATTTTTTCCTTTTTTGTGACCTTAACAGTTGAGTATTTGCATGGCAGTGCCCCCATGCTCTGAAAACTGTCCTGATGCAGTTCAGAAGGCCAAAAGGTGTAATATGCTTCAGCCATCTGTAAATGGACTTGTTCACCCAGGTTTTCTCTGACTTGTAATTATTTACAGTCAGTCATACTATGTATAATTTTATTTCCATCTTGTTTTTTTCCTCTTGCAAGAAATCCAAGGCAGCTTGCACTATCCTCCTCTTCTCCATTCAGTCCTCTGTGAAGTAAATTAGGCCAAGAGTCAGTGACTGGTCCAAAATTACCCAGTGAGCTTCATAGCCATGTGAGGACAGACCTGGAGAACCCAGATCTGCCAGATCCCAGCCTAGCATTTTAATCCCTACACCACCCTGGCTTTCCAAATGCAGCTCCGATTTTTCCGATTGCATAATTTTGAGCTGTTATTGTAGAAGTAGTTTTTAATAGTGGTTTAAATATAATGTTAAAATTTATGTAACACTCTTAGAGATTTTATTATATCAAAGTGGTCCATAAGTAGTGTTAATAAATAACTTCAGAGTAAATCTCCTTTTCCTGCTGCTGTTAGAGGTTTGGATCTGGATTCTAAACAGAATCCTTTAATCCCTGCACTCTCGGATCTGATCACCTTTTCCCCTTCCAGCACCCTGTTTACAATGCTTTGCGGAACCAGGGGAGAGAGCTCCGCCTTCATCTTAACACATTGCGCCACAAGGAGACAGAATTGGATGAAAAATACTACTTGCTTGCCCTCAAGCTGCCCAACAGGACTCATCCAGAAGTGGTAAGAGTAAAACGGAGCAGAACTTTGGAGATTGGGAGCTTAGGTCTGGAGCCTCTGCCTGAAAGGCCCCGCAAAACGCCCTTTGGATGAGTGAATGTCCCTGGTTGGGCTGAGAATCTCTTAAGCCAGTCTTCTCCTCTTGGTAAGACAGGCTGAGTGTTGGCTGTCCTTGCATGCGTGTGCCTTGTGGTGTTGGAGAGGCGGTGGGGCAGAAATAGGGGCAGTGTCACTGTGTGCCAACCTCTGGTCTCTTCCCCCCACAGCCTGTCGGGGATGAGAGCCAAGCACGGGTGATGGAGACAGTTGGAGAAAAACCAGGTGAGGAGTAGGAAGACAAGCCCTCAGCCATCCGTGGGCCTGTGGGTAGAGTCACCCGCTCCTTTCCTGCCTGCATCTTACAAGCCGATCGGTTGGATTCCTACCTATTCTTGGCTTACGTCTTTTTGCCACACACTTTTTTGGAAACAGCCTTTGACTTCAATGTGAGAGAACACCTGGAAATTGGAGAAGAGCTGGATATCATAAGGCAAAGGTTTGTGTGAGAAGCTTTTGTTTTCATCCTTGCGAGGGTTCTGTCAAAACAGCCTTTCCTGTCCTACCCCAGTACAGAGCAATAGAGGGCATTGTGCTTGAAAGAAACCACTGGGCAGGGATGGACTGGTGGGGGGCAGTGGGAGAGTTGGATTCATTTTCCTGCAGTGTCAGATAAAGCCACAGCGCCACCTGTGGGCAGAGAAATCTCAAGAATTAATGTCTGAACATTGTTCAGCTTAAAACTCCCCCGCGCTCTGGAAAATACAAGTTTTCCCTGCATCTTTCTGTCGGTTCCACTGATATTCATTAGCCAGTAATTATTTTACTGTATTAGCCAGTATTAATCCCATACTTAGAGTAAGGGCGATAGCTCACTGACAAAAAAACACGTTTTGTGTGCAGAGCAGGTCTGGTTTCCAGCCCTCCCAAATGGGAGAGAGCCCTGCCTGAACTCCGGCGGGGCTGATGCTAGTAGTGGGGTAGAAAAGGCTGGCCTTGGAGACTCAATGGAGTGGCCCGGTATGGGACAGTTTCCTATACTGGAAGCTTTTTAGAGCCCCCAGACACCCTGCCTGTTGAAGTCAGATAATAAGTAATACGACCAAAGAGAGGCTCGCTGCTACCTGAGGGGAAAAAATCCAAAATCCGCAGTTTAGCAATTCATTTAGAAGAATTGTCCAAGTGCTGTAACAGTTGGAGGGCTTTCAAGGTCGCCACTACTCTGGAGCAGGCTAGGGGGTAAATAGCAGTGGGTGGAGAAAGAAAATAGAAGTCCAGAAATCAGACTGTAGCCATCGGGGATTTTCTTGTTCTTCTCCCATCCCTGCTTTTTACCACCAGCCTGGTAAATAGTACTGGAGAACTTAACCTTTTGTACCAGTTTGGTTGCTCCTCGTAAATGTATTTCCAAAACGTTGATTTCGAACTTTATAATACAGAGTGGCTGCCTAGGAAAATGTAAAGCAAAATAAAGACTTCAGAGTTGTCAGGCAGAGTACGAGCTCCTCATACAAAGTATTTTCTCCGCTTCCACACGCCCTGCCCTTTACTGTGTTTGCTTTTCTGTCTTTTGTTTGTGCGTTGAGCAAATGTTTTTAACGTGAACAAAAAGCCATGAGTAATGCATGTGCAGCAAAAGCTTTTTATCAAATCGTTTTCGAATACTCAATCTGTCATTAGTAACCGAATTGCGGCCTCTGTCATTCCCCCATTATCCCCGCTTCCCCCTCCTCACAACCCATGACTGAGCTCACGCAGAGCAGAGTCCAGAGCAAACTCGTGCAGCGGTGGAGTGATGAGGGGCTCCAGACAAGCAATCATGTAAACTGCAGCAGGACTCGCTGCCCACACTTCTGGTGCCTGAAGTCATGGGTGATGCTTCATCCCGCAAAATCTTACAGCCTCTTGAAATCTGCCCTGAACCAGTGATTCGACTAAGACCTCAAAATAACTGACTTAAAGACTAACCCTAGTATAGAAGCCCAGATAGGGGTGGGTTGACCCCATACAGGAAGCCACAGCCTTGAATTTACAGGGGCTGAGCAGGGCCGTCACTCGGGGAGCTTTGACTCTTAGGGTCTCCGCACGTCGGTGACGACTCGACGGCACATACAATCAAGAGCGCAGCAGCTTCCTCATGGCGGTGGGAGGTGAAACACACGCTGAGGATCACACACCGGGCTGCCTTTGCTTGCAGCCACGGCGAGAAGTGCGTTCTCAGAGTCTGGTTTGAGCCAATTGTGGTTTGCACTGCAGGTGGGTGTGCTCACCTGCACTAGGCTGGCCTGTGAACCGCCTTGGCCGTCCTGCTGCCCTCCCATGCATTAGACTGCACCATCCGTGGCTGGGGACTTTGGGAACTGTAGTCCCAACACACCTGGAGGGTACTAGGTAGGGCTTGACCTAGACCCTGTGAGCAAGACCTGAGGCAGGGGTGATGTTTCTGACCCAGCCTCCACTTTCACTGTGGCCTCTTCGCCCCCTGAAAAGGCGCTGGGGGAATTGCCGGGCGTGCGCTCACACAAGGACAGCTGGAGAAGTGAGGCTCCAGCAGGTGTCAAGTTCCAGGGCTCTGAATGTGATTCGGGCAAAACAAAGGGCAGCGCGGGAAGGCCGCTGGCTCGTGCCCCAAGCAGCTGTTCAGGCTCTGCAGTCGCCCATTAGTTGATTGGGAGCCCCTCTCTTTCCCAGAGCAGGAATAAATATTTCATGGGTGGCCTTTGAGATGGTCGGTTTGGCCTTGGGCATTTTCCACCAGCTGGCTGCTTCCTCCCCCTCCCACAGAGCTCTGGGCCTTGGGCTGCCCTTCTGTCGTGGGAGAAGGGCGGTTTTGTCCTGGGCGCTGGAGAGATGCAGGGCGTGGGCAGGACATTCCAAGTGGCCGCCAGTCCTGGTCTGGGTCCTTCTGGCTAGGCACAGATCTGAATGTCGGGCATGTAACCTGTTGTTTGTTGGTCTGGTTTTTAAATGCACATTTCCTCTTGGGCTTGCATGTTTTGAAGTAACAGACTTGTTAATAAGTTGTTTTCTGCCTCATGATGTTTCTGTTTGAAGTGGGGAGTGTGCTTTTTTAACAAGCAAAATAATGCCAGGTAGGCTGATACGATCATTTCACGTTTGGTTAAATCACATTCCCGTTTGCCTCTTCTTGGGGACATGTGGTCGGTAACGAATTAAACAGCATAACAATAAAATACACATTTAAGTGAAAGCTAACCCATCCCTGCTTAATCCTGGCCACTAAGTACCAACCTAAAGGAGGAGTTTTTTACCTGCCCGATATTGGTGTGGTGTGGGAAGGGATGCAGAGAGAAGCACACCTTTTCTGGTGAGCGTCCCCACTGAAGCGAGAGACGAAGAGGAGACCTGTGGCTGAGCCTTCTTAAAGCAGGAGTGTTACTTGTGGCCTGGGGGCAAAACGCCTGTTTGGGAAGGGTCCTGGGGGCCACGTGCCAAGCTTCTCTCACTCTGCGCCAGAGCCTGGCTTGCACGTGGCTGCTGCTGGCGGGGTCGTGCCAACATGTGGCCAGGTGGCCTCGACACTCGCCCTCGCTCTGCTCCGTCTGGGTCATTCACGGGCACGAGGGGGTTTGGCCCTTCGCAGCTCTGCCGGGAGGCGCTTCTGTCTGCCGGGGACGGCGGGTGAGGGTCCCTGATGCGCTTGGCCTTCATCTGGGTTGGAGGGGCCTAAAAGTCCATCTCGCCCAAGCCCTCGGCCCCGAAGCTGAGAAGACTGCACAGGTGAGAGCGCCACCTGAAACACCTCGAGAAACACCCCAGTCTAGTTCCACTTCTCTTCCTGCTCTTCCCAGGCGTCTGTCGCACATCTCAGGCTACCGGTCCTACTACCTCCGTGGGGCGGGGGCCATGCTGCAGCAGGCCCTGGTGCAGTTCGCCCTCAACAAGCTGATAAAAAAGGTACGGAGGGCCCTGGAGCAGCTGGCGGCCCAGAGAGCTCCCCAGAGCTGTCCGGAGGCAGGGCCGCTGAGGCTTTGCTGCCACCTGGAGGGCTGGAAGGTGAAGCAAGCTGGCGAGGCAAGCGGGGCTCCGAGACCCGGCTTTGGATTTCCCAGATGGGTCTTCGGGGGGACTGAGGAATCGGTTGCGGTCAGAACCCCCGATTCCACCCCCCTTGGTGGGTGTAGCCCGATTTGGCCATCTGGAAGGCCTGCTCCCACCTTGCTTTGTGCGGGGATTCCAGGGTTCCCCTCTCTTCCTGGCCCTGCTACTGGCTTGCCTACTGTTCTACTCGGAGCAGAGGGAGGAGTCATCGCACTGCTTTCCTTTTGTGGGCTCCTGGAAGCCACGGGCCAAGCAGCGTTTCTGCAACTCTCTGTCTTCTCTGTCGCTCTCTAGGGCTTCATTCCAATGGTTGTTCCAGACTTGCTGAAAGGAGCTGTGTTCGTAAGCATCCCCCCCCCTTCCCCTTTTCAACGTTGCGTGTAGGTTAGGCCTTGAAATGGGTGGGCGAGCCCTCCAGATACTTTGGCTTACATCTCCCATCAGCCTTAGCCAGCAGAACCCACGGAGAGGAACGACAAGAGTGGAAGGCCAAAGCATACGCACCCCGTCCGCTTGCGCGGGAGCCTGGCGTGCGGCACCATAGTGGAGGCAGAGTGGCTTGGGGGGCAAAATGTCTGTTTTCCAGGCAGGTCTGTGTCTGTCGGTCAGTCCTCCTCCTTTCTTCTCTGCCCCGGATCGCTGTGGGCTTTTTGTCCTCCTGGAACAGGCCCTCGGGGCTCATCTGAGCCTACAGACCTGATGCTCTGGGTGGCGAGTGCTCATGTTTAACGCCAGAGCCTTTCTGCTTCCCAGGAGGGCTGTGGCATGCTTCCCGATTCCAGCTCCACCATGTTGTACACCATAGACCCCTCCCGCTTTGAAGACCTGAGTCTGGCTGGCACATCTGAGGTCGGAATTGCAGGTACCACCAGAAGGGTTGAGTGCTAAGCTATGTGCGGTAGAGAACCTTCAGTGCCATGTCTAAATTTCCCCAGTGAAATGACCTCTTTGGTTGTGTGTGGAGGGAGAACCTTCCTAGGTTTGGAGTTGTTTTTTGAAACAATTTTTGGTGATTAACTTAATTTTAAAAAATGTTACTGTGATAGTGTAAGGAGAGGGCAGAAGACAAACAGTTTTTGGGGGAGAAGACAATGGTGGTCAATGCAGTACAAAATAATTATAATTAAAGTCATGTTTGACTATTAAAAATAAGTTCTTATGTGCTTAATAGGGATAAGCTGGTAGTTGCAAAGGGCTGTCTTTCTCCTGGTTGTAAAGTGTATGTTAGCATGAGCTGGGGAGGAGGATTGGAGCCGTGGAGAAAAAGTGGGAGCTCTTGGGGAAGTGTGCCCCCCGTTCTCACCCAGATTCACTTCTCCTGCCTTTCGTTCCCACCAGGGTACTTCATGGATCATGCCGTGGACCTGAAAGACACGCCAATCAGGTAAACCGCTTCTGCGGCTTTTCCTGGCACATTCAGGTGCTGCTCTGCACCTGTTCAAAATCCCAAGCACTGTGCGATAGCCACCTGCCTCTAGAATCACAAGCGTTCCAGATTTTGACCTGGTTTCCACAAAACAGCACTCTGTAGTTCAGTTCAGCATGTTTCGTTGGATTGTGGGTTGTTGTTGTGTGCGAACCCAGAACAATGGCTTCTTCAGTGGGGCTGGTTCACCCAATCAGCAGCTGTAAACAAGACACTGAGAGGGTTCCTCTGACACAGTAAGCTACCCTATCCAGAGCGTGCAGGACGGACGGACACAGATCAGACCACCCTCTGCCCGGGGTGCCTTGAGCGGATGCTTCTGCTGAGCGATGGACCAGACGCGGTGGCCTACAGGCCCCTCCAGCTTGAGCCCCCTGCGCCGCTCTGTTTCTCAGCAGCTGTGGCTGCAGCCTGGGGCATCAGCCTGGGGTCTGTTGCAGCACGGTCAGTGTGGGTGTGCAGGTGGCATCATGAAGGTATCGAGAACAGAGCTCTCCTCCAAGGTGCGTACAATAAAACTTGGGGCTAGAGCCAGGGGAAGGAGGAGGTAAGGACAGGTTGATCTCGGGACTAACCTCCGAGCAAGCGCCCTTGAACGTACCTCTTCCTGTGTCGGCAGGACGGTGTGTTGCAGCACGTGCTACAGGGCTGAAACGGATACTGGCAAGGAGCCCTGGGGGCTGTACCGAGTGCACCAGTTCACCAAGGTGGGACCTCCAAGTTCCGTGCCCGTCCGCGCACGCATGCATCTCGCACCTTTCCCCTTTCCGATCACCCGCCACCCTCACTAACAAACCTTTCCCTCCCTCCCTCTCCGACCAGGTGGAAATGTTTGGGGTCACTGCGAACGAGACTGGGCTGGAGAGCACCGCCTTGCTGGAGGAGTTTCTGGCTGTGCAGAAGGAGATCTTCTCTGAGCTGGGCCTGCACTACAAGTGAGCGGGGACAGTGCGCCTTGCAGGACCACCATGGCCGTGCTAGCGCTCGTCACGGGGGCTTGTTGGAGCACGTCGTCGTGCCACGGGGGAAGGCTTGGGGCTGGGCTGCTGGGGCGTTGGCCCCTCCCACCCGTCCGCCAGACGACAGGCCTGCAAGGCGGGCGTGCAGTACAGAGCATGAACCTCGGGCCGCCTCCTCTGGAAGGGAAAAAGGAGGCAGCCTCGCGGATGCTCAAAGGGCCCGCTGGGACAGGGTGGGAGAACGCCGTCCCCTCCCAACAGTTTCTCTCCTGGAAGGAGCCCTTCCTGTGCGCCACCTGGGCAGCTCCGGGTGCCGCTTCGCAGCAATGGGACGGAATCCGCGGAAGCTCCCGTTCCAGGCCAGGGCTGTGGCCCGTCTCGTTCCGGGTGACCTGCCCTGGCCCGCAGCTGCACTCGGGCTCAGCCTTCCTCCCCAGCGCCTCAAAACACCTCGCCTCAGCCCGTAACACCCGAGAGTCCCAGCACAGTGCTTTTCCCAGGCCTGCTTGGGGAGCCAGGCCCTGAACTTGGGGCTCTTTGCCCGCAACGCCGCTGCTTAACCGCTGAGCTGCCTCCCTTCCGCAGCGAGCGCAGGACCTTGCGGACGGCCTGGTCCCGGGCCTTGCGTGTCAGCTGCCACCGCTTCTGCGCTGCCACGGCTCCACCGGCTTAACTGGGTCCATTCCAGGGGTGCACCCAACCTCCCCACCCCAGCCAGCTGCCCGTAGCTGTTAAAATGAATCTGCCACGGGGAATCGTTTCCGCTCAGGCTTGCCACTCCTCCGAGGCACTTGGCAGAGCTTCCCCGGCCTCCACTGGCATCTGCGCTGGCTTCAGTGCAGCAAGGAATTGTGCTAAAATCTAGTAGGAAATACGTTTTGAGAGAGGCCAAGGAAAATGCAGCTCTTCCCCTTCAAAACAGAACAATATCATACATGTTTTTATCTATAGCAAAAAAAGAAAGAAACCGGGGGAAAGAGCCAGGCCGTGAGCACGTGGCAGCTGGCCACAGGGCTTCCAGAATAATTTAATGCAGACTGCGGGTCCGTGGGGCAGTTTCCCCCCAGCGGCAGCCCCGGCAGAGAAGGGGCGTCTGGTTCAGCATCCGGACCGGCCAGCCGAGTTGGGGCTCGGCCTGCATCCCCCAAGTCTGACCATTCTCTCTACGGCCAGGGTTCTGGATATGCCCACGCAGGAACTCGGCCTCCCTGCCTACCGGAAATTTGACATTGAGGCCTGGATGCCGGGCCGGGGCAAGTACGGAGAGGTGAGTGCGGACAGTCTGCTGGGTAGAAAGGATTTCCAGTGCAAGGCTCTTCTGCGTTTGCCCCGGGGGGGGGGGTGCAGATTTACTTCTCTGCTCTGACGGCCACATTTCATTCAATCCCGCCCCCCTCCCCCCCAGATTTCCAGCACCTCCAACTGCACAGACTACCAGAGCCGGCGGCTGAATATCATGTACTACGACCAGCAAGGGAGTCTGTCTTATGCACATACGGTAAGCCCGGTTTGGGCAAGCCTGGAAGGGGCGGCGGGGGTGAGGGGGTGAAGAGAGATCATCTCGCCTTTTCCTACTTCCCCTGGTTGCCTCCGAGCGCTCACAGCGCCTCTTCGGTTCTCTGGCAGGTCAACGGCACTGCCTGCGCCATCCCCCGGATGCTCATCGCCATCCTAGAATCCAACCAGTGCCAGGTTTGTTTGAAGCAATATTGATTAGGGCTTTGTCAGTGGGATGCTTTCAGAAAAATCTAGGTTCTGCTGTGTGAAGCGAGCAGGGAAATCCACATGCAGCTGCTTTGATTGCACTGTTTCTTAGCCCTGAGAGGAAAGTCAACGGCTGGGAAAAGAACTGAAGCCCCTGGACCACTGGAAGCCTGGGCCAGCCTTTGCCCACCAATTGGAACCCCCCCCCCCCCCAGTCCTGAAGACTTTGGCATCCCCCCTTTAATTTTTCTACCGCCCTTCGGCCACAGCTCTGTCCAGTGTGTCTGGAGACCTAGAATTTTCGAAGAGTTTCATAATTGTCACTTATTAATCCATTCCAGGACTGGATCAGATTCTGGCATAAGGCCTGCTGTACCCTGTAAACTTGCAGTGAAGCTCAGAGTGGATCTATTATTCTATTGTTAGTAGCGGATCTATGATTGTTGCATTGCATTTCTATGGATCCGTAGCTGAAGCTCTCCAAGCGGTTCCTATCATTTAAGTCCCCCATCCAGAGTTCAGCCAGGCCTGACCCTGCTTAGCTCCAAGATGAGGCAGGATCAGGCACTTCAGGCTACACAGAAGCGCGCTCTCTTCTTTTATGGCCCATCCACGGTGGAAGGAGATACGAGGTGTCCACAGCATCCTAACCCCGCCTTTGTTCCTTCTCCCTTCTCAGGACGGCAGCGTTCGAGTGCCGGAAGTCCTCCAGCCGCTGATGGGCACGGAGATCATTCGCAAGCCCAGCTACACCCCGTTGAAATACATTGGCCCAAATCAGCCCAAAAAGCAGTGAGGGGGCAGATGCAGGGGTGCCCTGGAGCGTCCACAACAACGGAGCACTCGCGAGACCCCCAGGAGAGGAGGACAAGCCCGTGGCTGCAGGAATGTGGAGCTTTTGCTGGCCTTGGGAGCCAGGCATGAGCGCCGGAGGGAGGCGACCGTCCCCCGTGCGGCCTGCCTCCCCGACCTGGCCTTTCTGGGAGGGCTGTGTCTGGATCTTGGGTGGCTCTCCTGGTCCACAACAGTGTGATGGGGGGTGGGGAGAGCGGCGGCGTCCTCCACCGGGCCCCGAGATCCTGCGGCTCCAAATAGTCGCAGCCTGTGCTCTCCCCTTCGACACCCTCTGTCTTAACTGCCCGCTGCTTTGTGGCTTCCTGTCCTCGGGGGGGTGGTACCACCTTCCCGGGCAGAACTGTTGAGGAAAGCGTGGGCCCCCAGTGCATTCAATAAAGGTCACTGGTGCAAAACCAGATTTGCTTCTAGCAATGCAAGTTTTCGGAAGCGGCTCTTCTCTGGGCAAGGTGGGAACCTGGCCTGAGCGGTCTCCGTCTCCCCCCAGCAGCAGCAAGCCATCGGTCCCCACTTGTGATTCGTACCTCATGGGGGGGGCTGTGTGCTTTAGCTCTCCCCCCACCGGTTATACGCTGCACCAAGAAAAGAGGCTACCAAACTATGAGATCAGCGTAGATGACCAAATTATGGGTAGATTAGCATAATTTTGGAGTTGCTGCTTATGAAGAAGGGTGATGGGAGCTGGAGTTGGACATAGCTGTGGGGTTGGGGAAGGCTGCCTGGAGGGGTAGGGACCTTCTGTCGGCTTCCCTTCCCCTGTGCCGTTCCCTTGGCTGTGGAATAACTGCTGTTACAGTGGTGGGAACCTGCACGTGTGGATTCCAGTTCCCATCAGCCCCAGGCACTATTGCCAAGGATGATGTAGATTACCCCCCCACATCATCTGGGAACTGGAGCCGCCTCTGCAGCCCCAGTGCCTGCTTAGAATGCAATCCTATGCACACTCAGAAAGTCCCAAAACTCCTGGGGTCTTGGATGCTGGCAGCCACGGAGCCTTTCTCTGCCCGAATAGGCACGGGGTCGCACCCCAGAGCTCCCTCTTTCTCTGGCCAGAGTTTTGAGGCCGCCGTTTTCTCCAGAACCCAAACAGCCCCTCTTTGCCAGTGTTTTCCCCAGTGAGGGGACTTGCTGTCAAAATGTCAAAACACCGACTCTCGCTCCGGAGAGGATTTTGGGAATGTGTGGCGCCTCCCAAGGCAGATTCAGTGCAACCTGGAAGATGGGGGGCTCCCTGCCCTCTGCATAAGGACGGGGCGCATGGTCTGTCGGCACCGATGGTGCGTGGGGTGGCCAGACGGTGGGACATGCACCTCGCAGCCAGGGCTGGCACAGGCAGCTGGGTTGCGCCACCGTCGAAAGGGGCACACCGGGATCGCCTGGAGCTCACCTGGCATCCTTGCCCAGCAGGTATCTCCAGGCAGCAAGCTGGTGGCGAGGCGGAGCACCTGGCACGGCTGCTGAACTTGCTGCTGGTATGAAGAAGGGGGCCCAGCCAGCGGGACCGCCGGTGGAGCTGGTCCTGCCTGGTTCAGCACTGGACCGGTTCTGCAAACGGTTCCTTTTTCCCCAGACCATACAGAGCAGGGGAGGCAGAAAATGAGCCAGCTGTTTTCCAAATGCTGACACTGAGTGCTATTGAGCGTCCGCAAGACTGTTCTTTCAGCACAAGTGTTGAAATTACAGATACTTATGATGCCTTCATTGGAGGAAGGTGTTTACAACCAGAACACACAGTTCCCTGCTCTGAAGGGCTAGCTATCTAAATCTGGAGGGTGGGGGCAAAAGAGGAGGCATCAAAAGGTAATCCAGACCAGACTCTGCCAACTCGGTGCTCTCCTGCTGTGTCAGACTGCAGCTCCCAGTATCCTCCAGCCAGCCAGTCACAGCAGCATTTACTTGTGGGGTAGGAGGTGTGATAAGCTAATCAGATGGGCTTCGAAACTGTGGTGGTCCGTTTCCTTCCATATTCTTCGTAAGTGGAACAAGTCTCTAGTCCTCAGTGTCGCTGAAGCACAAGCTATTCGGACATTTACTATATCTTGCTAAAAGCCACTGAACTGAAAGATCGATTTCAAACATGAAGCTTTTTTGATGCAGCCCATATTTCAGACTAGCTTTCCCCAACCTGGCACCCTCCAGATGTCAGACTACAACTCATGCCAGGCTGGGGATGATGGAAGCTATAGTGTAATATAATTAGAGGGTACCAGAATGAGAGAGAAAAGGACAGAAATTAACATCTGCAAGGACATTGCGTAACGAAGACCCCCCCCCCCCGGTTGATTGCTTGGTTGGTGTGATTCAAAAGTCAACTTGCTTGGTGTTAAGCACTTCAGTCCCACCGAATTCAATACTTTCCAGTCGCTGAGTTCAGCGCTGCAGCCCTGGGCTATAGAGCTTTACTCGGAAGGCAGTCTCCGCATCGAGTGGGTCCCTATTTCCAGACAAGTAGCTCCTGGATGAGATGCAGCAAGCCTCTGCACTCTTAACCCATGCAGTTTGGTTCTAGGTAAACCCAAGATCTGCCTCCCAGCCGTATTCTGATACAGTCTGTCTGAAATTGCATTATTTATGGCATTTGTCAGGCTTGGGGACAAGAATACTCCATTCTTTGTCAAACATTCCTTGAATCCGAGAGAGAGAGAAATGGAGCCTTCTAGAAACGGCAAGCCAGCCCTGCCTTGAGCATCTTTTTCATCCTCGGTGTCTTCCTTGTTAGCTGCCGGGTGGTATTTTTAGCCAAGCGTAAGAAACCGCTGGATTATTCTGACTCCTTTGAAATTACATATGCCTTTTTTTCTTCTCTGACCGGAGATTCTGCAGGCAGACCATGCAAAATGGTTTTGGGGCAATGATAAATTATGTACGAATATTGTTTTAGCCACTGGGACGTTTTTGGAGCTTCTCCAGAGCACAAAGGTGCACACACCCGGCCCCCACCACTCCCCAGCATCTGCTCGGAGCAGGTGACATCACTTCCTTCCCAGCCTGCCTCCTATTTAAAATCCCCCCACCACCACCACGCTCTCAAATGCACCTCCGTTCAGTTTCGCTCGCACACAAAGAAATCCTTCACCCTTCACATCCAAGGACGTTCAGAGACGGCATCTAATTCCTCCCTCCATCCTTTCGTGTCTCCAGCTGCTTCCAACTCTGCTCTCTTTCCCTTCTCCTCGTCTCTCAAAAATAACAAACAGGCAAATTTGTGGTCTGGTTAGGACCTCAGCGATGCTTTTGGATGGAGCTCTGGCCCTTGTCCTCTTCCTCTCCCAAGGTAAGTCTGCAGCGGATCCAAAGTACTTGGGAAAGCGCATGCATGGGGTGAGGAGAGGTGCTTTGTGGGCTACAAAGAAAAGTAATGGGAACGTAGTTTTCTCCTCCCACCACCCCAATATCCAGTAAGAGAAGAGCCGTCAGTAAACTTCCCCGGTAGTTGGATCCCTCAAAGTTCCCACTCAAATCCCGTTGAGCTCTAGAATGCTGCTTGGTCTCGTCAGATGGGAGCATGCGGGGGGGGGGGCGAGAGACGGAGCAGCTTCTGCTACATCAGCCTTCCCACCTTGGTTGCCTCCAGGTGTGCTCGGCTGTAGCACCAATCATCCGCAGCCAGTAGAAACAATGGGAATTGTAAGCTACCCCTTTGGAGGGCACCGGGCTGGAGAAGGTCGCGCCGCATCCGTTGCGACCAGCCAAACAGGAGGAAAAAGCATTCCAAGATGACTTTTGCACACCGTCGGTTTATGGCCATCTCTCTCCATTTGTATTGAACTGCTTTTTTCCAAGATACTCTGAGGCTTTCCAATCTTTCCCCTTTAAGAATGCGATTCTTTCTCTTCCCTACCCCATTTTTTACCTTCTCTCCTTTCTTCCAATCTGTTTCCTCTATTTGAGGGTGCCTTTCCGAATTTCTGCCTTTTAATGCCATCTGGAAGATGACAATAACAAGCTGGTGTTCATATTAGTTTCTTCCTTCAACTGTGTGTGTGCGGGGGGCGGGTGTCCATTAGCATAAGCTCCCTCTTTGAGGGCCGGATTGTCTCTAGAAAAATGCTGTACAAAGTAACCTTGACAACTTGCATTGAATTCCAGTCCTCTGAGGATTTCAGGACCTCGGATAGCAATTCCTCAGGTTGTCCTTGTGCTCCGGTTATCCCAGGCCTGGATCCAAAGAGGAAACTGAGTCAAAACTTCCAGTTACACAACGGGTTTTAAAAAATATCTAAAGAAAAACCTCCTCCTAGGATCAGCTGATCTGTATGCCATATTACAAGATACTTTCAAGCCTCAACTCCCATTATTGAGATAGTTTCCCATTCAGCGTGGAAGATTTACCCTTTGACACACCAAAGTTTAAAGACCCTGTATGGTTCCTAGCCAAAAATGCTGGCGGTTGTAGATCAACTCCAAGTTTCCCAGGAAGACCAAGCCCCCAGTCTTTTCCAGATTTCCCATCGCACAATGTTTCATCAAACGTCTTTGAAACTGGCTCCTTCTGGCCACCCCTCCTCCGCACCCTCCCCACAACACGGGAGAAATGTTAAGGCTCGGTGCCCCACAGTCAGTGCAATCCTCTGGTGTTCGAAGGAAAGGTGCTGAACCGGGGATCAAAGCCGGCCTGCGTGAGGTTCCAGTCCGGCCACATGCCCTTCCCAGCCCTTTACTCCCGTGGTTAGGTGATCTCCCAGCTTTTTCATTTTTCGCCACCTTCACTGTAAAACCTTGGTAATAACTTATAAAGCCCTTAATGGCTTGGGACCCAGATACCTAAAGGAACGCCTGCAGCCATATTTGCCCTCCCGCCCCGAGATCGGCAGCAGAGGCCCTCCTCCGGGAGAGACATCAGGAGGCAAAGTACCCAGAGGAGGGCCTTCTCTGTGGTGGCGCCCCGCCTGTGGAATGCGCTCCCCAGAGAGGTCTGCCTGGCGCCGTCGTTATTTTTCAGCACCAGGCCAAGACCGTTTTATTCAAACAGTATTTTAATAATGTTTAATATTTATATATCTTAATTGTACAGGCAGTGTGTTTCCAGGTTTTAATTGTAATTGTGTTTTATTTCTGTGAGCCGTCCCGAGGCTATGTATCAAGGGGACAGCATATAAAAGCTTTAAATAAATAAAATGGGGTTTGACAGGGATGCTGGGGCTGAAGCCAGAGAGTGACAGTGATGGCCCCCCATTTGCAGACAGGTGAATTTGTAAAGCTGAGCTGATACTACAGACAGGTGGGCTTTGAACTTGAAAAGCCAGCCCATCTTCCTTCCCATTGCTCCCTCTTTTTGCCCTTTTCGGGCAAAACAGCCCCTCCTGGAGGGGAATGTGGCTGGTGAGCGTGGCACCCGAGGCGGGCACCTTCCTTGGGGTCCCGTCACCCGGTTGCCAGCCCTGCAGGGCTCTCGGACAGCTTGGTTTTACCCAAGAGGGTTTGCGCCTTCCATTTTGGCAGTGGAAGGATCTCTTGGTGCCCAAGCACGCAAGCTGTAGCCTGGCCTCATCCGTCAGGGGGGTACGGGGGCTGTTGGGGGGGACCAGCCGCGCTGAGACGAGCCTCCGCTCTCTCCATTTGCTTGCCAACACCACCTTGCTAGAGAGGACGTTGTAAACATCAGCGCCCCAAGAGCCCTGCCAGGGACAGCTACCTGTTGGGTACCAGCTCAGGGGCGGAGCACGTGCCGTCTGTGCAGGGGTCCCCAGCACCCCTTCAGGTGGTCAAGAGGCCAGAGGAGGCCCCAAAGGGCTGTTAAGCTGGGCAAGGACCAACACTGGGCTTGCTATCAGGTGGGTTCGCCTGTTCCCATGGCTTCCTGGCATCCTTAATGTCCAAGTCAGGTGCCCTGGGGCTCTTTTGGAGTATAGAGCTGGGTGGCTCCCCATTTCTCTTCGGAGTCTGAGCCCCGGCTGAACCAGTGCACTGTCCCAGTGGCACTGAGGACAGTTGCTTTAATATTTTGGGGGGCGGTGGGAGGAGGCGGCTCCTACACCTGCCCTGCAGCTGGCCTCCCCTCGCCTGTCTTTGTTGTGCTGCGTCCAGCGTTATGTAAGCATCTTATGCAAGATGAAGGATCGGCTCACCTGAACAGCTCCGCACGAGCCGATCTTGCTAAGCCATCAGGCTGTGTCTCCGCCTCTGCTGCTGCCTGTCTCTGCACTGCCCAGGGTCGCAGGTCCAGGCCCCCACCCACCGCCAGCACAAATCCTCAGCCGGCACAGCAGGACCCATTCATACTTGGCTGAGTTTCCTTCGCAAGTTAGCAGCATTTCTCCGAAACCACTTGTAAGGTACACTTTTACAGCAGCTCACGAAGCTGGCTAGAATCGCAGGACCAGAGAAGCGTCAAGGGGGAAGGGGCCAAGAAGGGCACCTGGTCCAGCCCCCTGCAGCACTCCAGGCTAATGCATACGGAGCAGGCAGCTGTCCGGCTACATGGGGACCACCTCCAGGGCAGGAGCGCCCACACTCGCCCTAGCTAAGAGCAGCCTTGCCCATGTCTGCACCCTCCAGCTGTGCCAGGCAGGGAAGACGGGAGTCCTACTCTGACACCCCTGGGAGTTGCTAGATGGGGAAGATTGACCTATGTTATACATTTATAGCCCACCGTTCTTCCTTTTGTGAGGAACTCAGGGGAACGTACAAGGTTCTTCTCTCCATTTTCTCCTCACAACAGCCCTATGAGGTAGGCCAGGCTGAAAGTCTGGGACCAGCCCAAAGCCACCCCAGGAGCTTCATGGCTGAGAGGGCTAGAACCCAGATCGCCAAGGACCAGTCCAGGCCCTGGGTGACGACACCACACAGGCAGAGAGCTGAGAGTGGCTTCCTTTGAAGGAAGGAGAGATCAGGAAGGAGGCAGACTTGAAGGCCAGATGCTGAAGATGAAGCTCAAATACTTTGGCCACCTAATGAGAAGGAAGGCCTCACCAGAGAAGACCCTGATGCTGGGAGCAGTTGACGCAAAAGGAGGAGGGGATGGCAGAGAATGAGGTGGCTGGATGGAGTCGGCATGAGCTTAAGTGCATTCTGGGGGATGGTGGAGGACAGGAAGGCCTGGAGGAGTGTTGTCGATGGGGTCGCGACGGCTCGGATGCAACTTCGTGACTAATAACACCACTTTGGAGATCACTGTTACATAGATTTCCTCTTGAGTTAAATACAGGCAAATGTTAGCATTTTGTAGATGAAGCTGAGCTGCAGGAGGGCCATGCAGGGGGTGGGCAGAGTGCCAATTTTACCGGAAGCTGAAGCACAGGCTTCTCTGTCAAAGTCAGGGAAGCTGGAGACTGCAGTTCCTCTGAAGGACTGTAAGCCCCTCACCCCTGGTGTTGAGAGGGTCACATGGAAAGAAGATCCCCTTCAGGGCTTAAAGAGCAGTCAGGGTTGATCTCCTCTAGGACTGACTGGTTTGATCGCCTTGAGGTCCAAGGGACTCGCAGGAGTCTCCTCCAGCACCACAATTCAAAGGCCTCAATTCTTTGGCGCTCAGCCTTCCTTATGGTCCAGCTTTCACAGCCATACATTGCAACTGGGAAAACCATCGCCTTAACTATACGCACTTTTGTTGGCACGGTGATCTGCTTTTTAGTATGCTGTCTAGATTTGCCGTAGATTTCCTCCCTAGGAGCAAGCATCTTTTAATTTCTTGGCTGCAGTCCCCATCTGCGGTGATCTTGGAGCCCAGAAAAATAAAATCTGTCCCTACCTCCATTTCTTCCCCATCTATTTGCCAGGAAGTGATAGGACCGGATGCCATGATCTTAGTTTTCTTAATGTTGAGTTTCAAGCCAACTTTTGCACTCCCCTCCTTCACCCGCATCAAGAGGCTCCTTAGTTCCTCCTCACTTTCTGCCATGAGTGTGGTATCATCTGCGTATCTGAGGTTGTTGATATTTCTCCCAGCAATCTTAATTCCAACTGGTGATTCATCTTCATTGAGCTATGCAAGCCCCTTCACCACGGCAAGGCAGTGATCCATGAAGGGGGACCCACTCACACTGGAAATCAAAACCGTGAGAACTGGAGGGATGACCCAAAGCGATGCATCAGCCCTGGAGGTGGGATGGAGGAGGACAGGAGAGCCTGGAGGAACATGGTCCATGAGGTCATGACGGGCACAACTTGGCAACTGACACACTCGCATACAAAGCACTGCCGAACCTGGGACCTGAGCGTACCCACCTCTCCAGGCACAGAGCGCTTTGGAGAAAGCCTTCCCAGCAGTTCCCAAATGGACCTGGAGCCCACCCAGAGCTGAGCCTTCCCCTTCCCGGAACTCCCTGGCTCTGG